ACCAAATTTTAACTATCAATAATTTACATAATATAATTACTGACCTTTGAAATGGATAATGTGAAATAAATCTCTTTTACTTGAAGCAGAATATATTCTTAATGTTTCAATAGTTAACTAATAGTGAATAAAAAAATGAAAACAAAATTCAGGAAAAGTTTCAAAAGGTTACCTAAAGATCAATTCCTTACCATCTTGTTAATCTTCGATGAAAATCAAGGAGTCATCGTATTTTTATTCCATCATTTTCTGGTAAAACATTGATAATTTGTTAGGAGGAATGATGGAAGTCATTAACTACTGGAAGGCATCCATGAGTTAGAATTATTAGGTAAACAAGGCGATCTTATATTAAAAAATACAAATGATCAAAATACATAAATTTTTTTTTAGATAAATCACTGTTGGACCAGTTTTCTTAAAACAAATTAGATAACATCTTAAAACAGAATCAAAATGCCTTTCCGACCTTTCCTTTCTGACTAAAAGATTGCAGCAACTTTTCAAAAGGGTCAGTAACCTCAAAACAGAAAATATTTATCCTTTCCAGTGTTGGTAGTGATGACTTTAAAGAAATCAACACTTCTAATCCTTCGGCAAAATTATTCATTCACGCAATTACAACTCATATTTTTTCACAATTAGTAAGCGATCATCTAAAATTTCTTTTCAATTACTAGCTTCCACTGAATACCGAAATTATTTTCTGCTAGTCATCACAATTTAAAAAAGCTAATAGTAACTGAACTGAACAAACAGCAAGAGAATGAAACCATTAACAAGGTAACAAAATTAATACATGAAAACAGAAATTAAAATGTAACAGTCAAAAAAATTCAAAGAACTAATAAGATTTATTATCGCATGTCTTGATGAGAAAAACAAAACATTTATTCGTGAATAAGTAATTTTTACACTTTTAATAATGAATGAAAAAAAAGAAATAAGATACCTGAAAATATCAAACGAAAACAAGACCATAATTAACTCATATTCTCAGAAAACATCCATGGTTTGGATATAGACCAAAGCAAAAAATAGCATCAAAGTATGTTTCATGAATTAATAACAATCAAGAGTACCATATATATGTTTTATAGCTTTAGTTAAGCGTATAATTTTACTGCACAAAAATATCAGTCTATAACCGTGATTGCTTACTGATACCAATCAGTCTACATATTGCCTTGATGAACTGAAAATAAAGAAACTGATATATTCTTAACAAAAGGTGGACTTTTTTACAGCAGGTGATAAAATTAATTAAAAGCACTTGATTTAGTAATAAAGGCCAATATAGAAAGTGTCGACCTTAGAATAACTTCGAAGCTCATAAATAAACGCAATGTTACGGTAATATTGAACCCTTATATTACGTTATATAAGCCCAAAATAATCATAATATAGCGAAGTTTTCAAAATTAAGTATCTTAAACATCGTTAACAATCTGAATAATAAGATATAAAAGAATTTTCTGGAATAAAATTCATGGATAAATGCATACCTGAAAAGAATGAAATTTATGGACCTTGAGAACACATTTCAAGAGACAGATGGGAAAGAGGAATTAAGGTATCACTATGCATTTGAACAGCTGACACATCTTCCTGACGTGGTCCATTGTTGACACCGCCGAGTAGTCCTAACTTGGCATCGATTCTAAAATCAAACCACTGCAAATATAAAAAAATTGGCGGTGGAATGTTGAAACTGCTTCACAGTCTTTCAATGACTAAACCGCGAAAACAACCATGCATTCAATTTTTGGAAGAAGTTCAACCCGGATCTGTTTGGGAGGATTAAACAGGAAAAATGATCTCTTTTATTTCAATGGTGCTATAATATCACAATGGAACGTTCAATACGAGTTCTGTAATGAAAGGGAGAATATACAAAGATAGGAACGACAAACTCTGAAATTGATTAAAGCTCTTCCTACAAGACCATTGCAGAATTTTTGACCATTTACTAGAAATAGTGAAAATGAATGTGGGATAAGAAAAAAAATTAATCTACCTTTTTTTTTCTTCTTGAGTTTGTCTATAGATTTGAATTTGGGTTTTAAAAATGCTCTCTAGGATATTTCCTTCTACCACAGAGAGTTTTGCATTGAAATCTGCAACTTGAACGTCTTTAAATTTTAATAAAACAATAGAAAATTGGAATAATATAAGTAGAATAACCTTCGGTTTCGCGCTTCAATTCATCGTGCTCACATCGAGCGGCTTCAATTGCCGCGATGTATTCTGCTATTTGCTTTTCACAGTAATCGAATTCTTTTTTGGCTTTTCGGACCTTCTCGCGCATTCGTGACACTTCTTGCTCAGAATCTGAAAATCTTGAAAAATATCCAGAAAATGGAAGGTATGAGATTAATGTAGTTAATTAATTATGGAGTTAATGAATTCACTTTTGCAAAATCGAAAGAAGAAAAAACAATAAAACTCAAGAAGCAATCTTTTTTATGCCATTCAAATTTTCAAATTTACACACTTTTCAATGCACACTGCAGTTTCTGCTTAACTTTTGCAAACTTCCTTATTTTCTGCTCGTTAATAAGATTACATTGTCGCCAGTTCTCGGCCTAAATTAAGAAGAAGTAAATACCAAGAAAAACAAAATTATAATTTCGGGTCTTTAAAAACTTGAGCAACTGCAAAAGGTATGCAAATAGATCTTCACAAACACTAATCATTCTTAAGAAGGGAAAATGTCATTTGGAATAAAATAATAGTAGATAAGTGACTTCATTAAAACAGTTACATATTCATCAATCCAAACGAAGAACGCATATGACAATAGCATTGACACAGTGCTGTCACTTTACAACATTTTATGTACAATACACAAAGGAAAATATATGATAAGCAAGTATCATATATTTTCATAACAATACGTAATACGTACACGTCCTGAGAATACTGCTTCGTTTAGTAACAATATGTATAGATTTGACGTGCAGTTGTACGTATTTTTAGTCAAATTTTTTCCATTCAAATGACAAATTTGAATAAAATGAACACTTACTTCATCATTGCCACTTTTGACGGTCGTTTCAAACTGTTTAATACAATTCAATAGTTCCGTTATATCATTTGCTTCAGCAGCCATAGCACAATTCCTTCAAAGAATATCATGGAATAAAATATGTCGTCCTTCGTTTCGCAATTAGTTTCTCAAATTTTTCGCAAAGTTTCGCAAAATTAGATTAAATAGTAATATGAGTTATCGTCGATCAATTTATTCAATCCAAACACTTCAACATACTCTCATATTGAAGAAATTTAGTTTCGGTATACTCTACTCGACCCCTTTAGATTAAAAAACTCAGGAACCTTTATGCTGTCCGAAAATAAACTTATATGTTACTCTTATAATCAAAATCAGTGAAAATTAAAACTGAAATTTGAATATTGCTTTAAGATTTTTTTGGAATTAGAATATACCGTTTGCAAGATTATTTTTTATTGAATCAGAAAATGATTAGAAAATATTTCCCGGATCAAATTTGACATTCTACACTTTCGATTCAAACATTCAAAAATCAATTTCCAAATTACTCCCCAAGCCGAAAATCAACACTGACATTTACAGAGACTGACGAGATCTTATATTTAAAATCAGCGCCGCAATTTCATCCTCTCATGGTCTCACAACGAAAAATACCGTAGCTCTGAGTTCTTACGGAGTACTTACGTGGTTGCTGATGGCAATACCGATTTCGGTGCCCGGAATTCCGATTATAGCTTGAAATACATTTCGGATAATTTGGTGTGACTTAATCTCGATGAGTTGAAAATTTTTTATGATGAAATAGCGCTGTGTAAGCACATACGCATTGCACACACAAGACATACATACATAACATATATCGATTAGTTTGAGTGCTCCGTGCGATTTCGAAATGTGCACAGTCGGCCAGGGAGCATTCCGAGTGTGTGTATGTGCTGGGTACGGGCGATGGAGACATCTTTTCCAAGTCGATACATCCTATCTCGTCTTTTATAATTTTCACCCAAAATTTTCCCGAGATTTTCCAACTATCACCAAGACTTAACTTTCTTCAAATAACATTAAACCAAAACATTCTTGGGCAAAATCTCCGTTATATGTTATCAACCTATACTCTTTTTTGCACGCGTGCATGCATTTGCATCCGGAAAAAACATATATGATCTCCGAACTATATCATATCGATCTGCACACATTGTTTCATCCACTATTACAATCATACCATATGCTTTCAATTTTGTTATAAATTTGTGCTACGGTTTTGTGGCACCTTTTTGAAAATTTGGTATTATACAGAGAAAGATTTGAATAGGATAGATTTTTTGCTCACAAATAGTTTCATTCTTCATCTGCTAACTCTCTTTTCCCTTCACTCATTCATGGATACTTCCCAAGTATTGGGAAATTTATTGTTGCACAAAGGACGCACAAAGCTATGACATATGTGCAATAGTACGTATTCACGTGAGAACAATGTGGATGACATCGTAAGATCAATGCCCATTCTGAATTCCTGTCACATAATTCCATCCTGAATTATTTCAGCACTTTACGTGATATACAGGCATTAATCGTGCAACAATTTGGGAGAAATTGTAAAGGAGTATTTTTGGACAGCGAAATGCGTCGTGGAAGACCTCGAGGTCGTGGTCGAACTTCAGTCGGAAAAGCAGCAGCTAAATCATCACCAACATGCCTTGGTCGTAATCGAGGGCGTGCAAAACCAACTGGTAGTTTGACGAAGTCCGCGAAATCCTCGAAAGCTTCAAAATCCAAGGAGTAATACTTCTGTGTAATTCAAACAAATGCAAATCTTTTCAGCTATTGGGTGGTCTTCGTTTTTGTTTTAATGCGGTGGCTATATGGCTGCAATACTGATTCGGTCTTTTTGAGACGACGGTTTTTCCTCTTTTTTCAGTATCACTTTTCTATTAAAAATAATCGAAGCAGTTTAGTGACTTACAAATTGTTATCGTTCATTTCTAAACTTTCTCCCATCTTGATTTTTAAAATTTTTGTTGAAATTTAATAGCAACATTTGGAGCGAAATTTTTTAAATGTCAAGAAATTTCAAATATTAAAGTTTTTTTTTTTTGTAAAACGCAAAATGCGGTTTGTTTGTATAAAGAACTGAAATACAACCCAATTCATATATAAGCAAATAAATAACTTGACCTTCCAAAAACATTTGCAGTGTATGAAATACAATTCAGTCATTATTCATCGATTTCATTTGGATAAAGTCTAGAATTTCATTTGTTGTACTTCAGAAGTCGATTGGCATGGGATGAAAGTGATGAAGAATATGATAGACCTGATTACTACACCGATTCATCGGGTGATTTCGATAGTGATACTTCCACTGCTCGAAGAAGTTAGCTGTTGCGTTAGAATTTCAGTTTTGCATTTCGCTAGAAAAATACAAAAAAATGCTAATCTTTACTTCAGCTACTAGAAGAAGTTATCTGTTGCCCTAAGTATTTTAGGTTTGTAATAGTTTTACATCTTTGTCTTCATTACTTCGAAACTTTGTACGACAAGAAATCGTTTACAGATTCTGCAGCAATAGATTTTGAAGACGAAGCAGAAGATGAAGAGATAGAAGAAACATCATCCGTGGCAAGTCGAGTTCCAACACCTGGTGGATTGCTTTTTGAGGCGGACGAATCTCTTGGTGTGTTTTGAGTTAATTCACGTCTTTTAGGCATATTTATAATAGTGATTTGCTTAATCTATTGGTTTTTTGTTTGTAGCAATGCAGTTTGTTGGAGGAGCTTTGTTATTTTATTGAATTCTTTGTTCTCAGCTTCATATTTTTATTATTTTCTGTAAAGTAAGTTTACAGAATGTCCATGGCTTGAAATTCCAGCAGGACAACTACCAATATTGAAATTGCCGAAAGGAAGCGAGGATTTATTGATCGATGAAAAATATTTGCTTGATGCTCTTGAGGTTCTGAATCATTTGGAAAAAATAAAACTGTTAAACTGCAAATGATAGAATAGTTTGATATAATTCATAATTCACCTTCATTGACTGAAAGCCACTTTCATGAGCTAATGACTAATCCTCGCTGGATCAGGGAATTTCCACCGCGGATAATCTGTTGATTTTGAATTTACATGTTTTCTCGCATCTAAAGGAAATGTTATAGGTTTATGAAACGTGTCGCTGGTACTACCGAGCAATTCGACTTTCTCCATTTCTTTTCGAAGATTTTTGCGCTGCTTTAAATGCGGAAAGTCAAACAAATCTTCTAGCTGAAATACATATTGCACTATTGAAACTGTCATTAAAAGATGATGATGATGAACAGATCATTCTGTCAGTTCAGGATACAAACAGCAGTTTCAACATCATGCTTCAACTGCTTGAACCAATGACATATGCTGAGGTAGGCATAGGAAAAACAAAAGCTGTATAAGAAAGATCGTCGACGTAGTAAACTGAGAACAGAGGACTTTTCTTTAATGCTAAAAAAGAAAAAGGTTTCAGTTAAAAAAAGAAACAAATCCTGGTTGTTAAACTCGAAACTTAAGTAGATATCGAAAATTGGATTTGAAAAGTACTTTGTTTACTTCAGGTACTTCGCCAGTATTTGGAAAGCGATTCACAGCGTTTCCCCGCTAAGGTTCTTGAAGCAGCAAGCGGAAATTATCCATTTGTTGATGTGGGACGGCGACTTATAGTTCTTTCATGGCTTTGCGATCGTTTCTTTCAAACTAACGAATACCGAAATATTATTAGAAATGAGGGGAAGTTAACAGTAGATGAGCATTGTCGTGAATGTGGAAAACCAGGCGATGTTTTACTCTGTGACGGTTGTGAAGCGTGCTATCATTTGTCATGCACAGGTCTGGCTGATGTACCGGATGGAAAGTGGTTGTGTCAAGTGTGTGAATTGCATAAGGTAGCACTGATTTCAATTTTTCTTAATTTACATAAAACAAGAGAGATTGTTATATGATCATGGAGTTGTGTTGCTAACAAAGAATACAGTGTTGATTTGTCAGTTAAGGATAACTGACAAATCAACACTGTATTATTTCTGTTTTTAGTTCCCTACTCGTAATTTACGTATGTTGACATTTTAGGTACGCGGCGTAACAGATTGTCAACTCCCAGGTTACCGGTTGCCGCGTATGCCAATGCGCTTCAAACCTTTAGGGCGGGATCGTCACGGTCGTCTTTATTGGTTTATGGTGAGACGCATATTTGTGCAGGATGATACGGACGGTTCTGTGCATTACTATAGCACTCTTCCTCAACTTTATTTCTTATTGAATATGCTTTCTGTGACTGAATATGAAAAACGTTTGGCAGCCGTGTTTATGGATCTTCTTCCTCTTATTGAAGAACATATGCGAACAACGCTACAGCTTACTGGTGACTACGGTCGAAGCGCAAGAACTAGAAATAAAATTGATTTGTATTTACATGCTGATAATGGTTAGTTCAAATTAAAATAATTATATGAAAAATGAAGTTGTCGAGTCTGTAATATCTGTAGATACTATTAATGGAATTATGAATCCGAAAGTCTTAGATATTGCGGTTGTAGACCATGACAATTTAGAATACTCCAGAAGATTCGAAAAGAAATCGATTTGGATTCAGCAGTAAGTAATCTTTTTTCAGTTATAAGAATGGGTGATATTTTGGCAAAACCATTGTTTAGTCAATTACGAGAAAGTGATGATGAACGGGTAGTGGTTACAATTGGTTCTGCAAAACATGTGGAAGTGAGCAAATATCTTTTACTCTACAAGACAGAGGAACTGTTGGGATTTACAGGGAATTGCTTGAAGGATACATTTTGGACAGCTGGCATGCAAAGTAAGTTTCCATGTTATTTTATTTATATTCTTTTACTGAATAAAATGAAACGACAATTATTTTTGGATTTTCTACAAAAATTTTTTTTCAGCTCATGAAGTGATTACGAAAAAGGAAGTAATCGAAACAACTTTTCGTACAGCTTCAGTCAACGGTGGCACTGAGAAAGTCCATTCTATGGATTTTGGATTTAGGCTTGGAGAAGGTGATACTTTGGCACGTTACGTCAATCAGTATAGCATCAATGAATATGCCAAAAATCCTGTTCAAAGAGCCAAAGAAAGAGATAGAAAAAAATACATGTCGGGAAGGTTTTCGCTTATGGACGAAGGAGAATTCGAGGTAATTCGAAACATGTGTAACTGCAATATGGTGATGCCATTATTTCCATTGTAACAAAAGATTAAATACAAATTACTTGAAGAAAATGAATGTTGAAGAATTACAAAATTTCAGTGGACAGTAACGAAGGGGCGTACTCTCTCTGGAACACCAATTCAAATTGGAAAAATAATACAAAATTCAATGGAAAGTTTTGCTCAAAAAATACCATCAGTTTTAATGCACCGTTTATGGAAACGTGATGGCTTGGATTATTTTAAGAAGGTGATTTGTTAGAACAAGCAATCAATGATTTTTTATAGCCTCCAAATCCAAATAACATTTGATAATTATCTTGCTCTCTATTTATTTTAGTGGCTTTAAAAAAGTCAATAGATGTTGAACTCTGTATCTAAACGATTGGAAAGCAGTGAAATGAAACTAAAAATTGATTAGGTTTAAATTAATATGAGGAGATGTCGCAATATATTTGTGCCACTTTTCATTCGATTACTTGCGGATGTTCATGCATATTATGCATCCATATAAATTTCATCCAAATTATAATTTCTTGCAGGGACTTAACGCTCCACCAACAGTTGAATTGTTGAAAGACTTATTATTGCGCTTCGAATGTGCAATTCGGAGACCAGTTCTTCATAGTGTGTGGTGGAATACACTAGGGCACACTCGGTTGATACGTATAACAGTGGAAGATCGTGAACGACGTCAGCGTTACGAGACAAAAAAAAAGAAACAGGAAAGGGTAACGTTTTTTAGTCATTTCGAGAGTAAAGGTATTATAATCATTGTTGTTATTTAAAGAATGTCATTGTTATATACTGCAGTAGTATTTTATTGGAAACGTGATTACCTTTAAAAAAGAATATTCCCTATTAATTATCTGTGTAACTTTGTATCATGCTTTGGTAACTTATGGAAAAATTTTAGAATAGTAAAGCGAATGATGGTCAATAAATTTTACGCATTAAATTTGACTAATTAAAAAAGAGATGGGAATTAAATTTTTTGCAGGAGCTTTGGACAGCAGAACCAGATGATGACGAAGTAATTTGGGTGAAACACCTTAAGGTTGGTTCAATACTTAAAAGAACTTTATGGCGACAGAATGATGAAGGTTATCGAGTGAATGGTCGCGGTGCTCTCGGTGGTTGGCTATGGAAATCTAAAACATTTCACCGGACGTTTATTCCACTAGCCGAAAAGCCGAATATTGGTGGAAATTTAGAAGTACGTTGCTTTTCACAGTGTTTAGTGAATTTCATTTATGTGTTCGAGTTTTTTGAGTATGTAATGAATTATAAGTCGTTAGCAATGAGTTTTCTTTTGCAATGAGGAGATCCATGTTGAAGCATGCTTTATAAGATGTCATTGTTAGGAATAAGCAATGTAGAGCGATTCTATTACTTGTTCTTATTATACTGTTTTTAATTTTATTGCTGAGAAAGAAATTCTTTTAAAACTGAAACAGTTTATATTGAGATCATTTTCTCATTTTGACTCGAAACCTTCCAGCCCACCACATTGGCAAATAGGAAAGCAATTCGTCTAGAAAAATTTGTTGGACGTTTAAATGAGTGGAGAACTGCAGAACTGGAAGGCGAAGAGCGGTAAATTTGCTTTAAATAAACTTTGGATTATTTTATGAATGTCGTATTGTGAATTCTTTGAATCTTTTTTTGGCATCTTAAATGCAGTAAAGTAGTAAATGATGAGATCAAAAGTGATGGAATATTAGGATATGGATTCTCAAATATTATTATAACCCCTGTAACAAAGCTAGTCTCAGGAAGTGGCAAAAGGAACTTTTGAAGAAGTGTTATTCTCCCACGTGTAGGATGGGTATGATGCCGTTACCGATTACCTCGGAGAATGACAATGTTCAAGGTTGTTATAGTCTCGCATGTCGCCAAGCTGTGTTGCAATCGAGTAAGATATGATTTATGTTATAAAAAGTTTTACCGTTTGCCGTTTATATTGAACAAAGAGAAAAAATAGAATTTTTTTCTGTAATCACAAAATTTTTATTTTACAGGTTAAAATATTGTCAGTTTTATATGTTGTTCATGTATGTAATTATAGTGGGAAGAACCACAAGTGGCGTTGTACATGCACGGCCTGCATCATCACCAGCATCAAAATCTCGGCAAGAAAATGAAAAGCGTGTGAGAGCGCCAGAGATGAATAAGCCATTTCCGCTCCCAGTTCCATTTGATTATCGAGTCAGACGTACTGGCGAACAAAGTTTATTAGTTTTGCCACAGAGGTTACTTTGTTCCGTTGAAAAATATTTTCATAAATAATTTTAATTATCTACTCGAATTTTCAGCAGATTTTTTGTACGCATAATAATTTACTGAAATCTCCTGATGGTGATAATGTTACCGATAACGTTTCCAGAAAAGACTCACGATTCACGATGCATATAGTTAAATCTAATGTAGCACTGGGTATCAGTAGTTTATATTCTTTTGAGTGGGAAGTATAAATTTTTATATTTTTATTTTCTTAAACCGGTTAGTAGTTGATTCGTAAATTTCCAGTATTGAAGGAATTTGAACCGTTCGGATTTAGTTTTTCACCGCCGAAAGAATGTTTTACAGAAAATTTTTTAGAGCTTTAAAACGTTTGGCTCGCCAGGGCGGAGTGAATTTGAATTATTTCGCTCCTGGATTCCATCGTATGGCCAAAAGTAACATTCAAGTATGGAATTACCCTTGTCAACGTCCGCTATTTGATAATTGCTGGAGGTTTACAAATTTTCTTATTGTCGAAGTAATCTTTTGTTCTAAAACTGTTATGAACATATGAGATTGCTTATGTATATATATATATATATATAAATTTTTGCACTATAGATACTCAGTGTTACGCGCTCAGTCATACCATTCTGTTGCTCTTCACCTTCGGATTCTCTATGCATGCATTCGATGGGCTGATATGCATCGCGAACCAGACGAAGTATCTTTTCAGTTTTTTTAAAGTCAAGATTAACAAATTTGTATGTCATATCTTCAGAATCTCATAGTAAGAGTAAGCAGATATGCTGTTAAATATTAGATCTCTAAACTCAGATTTCATTACTATCTTCAACAAAACGATTCGCTTGTATTTTTAAAATATTTGTCCTTAATGAGTTGTTTAATGAAATGAGTGTGTTTTTATATATTATATATTACTGTTTGATCCTTCCTTGAAGTTTTTTGTGCATGCAATCTTTTTTATAGGATTTTCGGGTTACAGTCCATCTTGCGGACCATGATGAAGTGCGAACAGTAATTGGCCATAAGGAATATCCACCAGACGGTATGTATGAGCAGTATAAGCTTAGTGTGGAGTTGATTCCTCTGGATGACAATATTGATATGGATGATGTTAATGAAGGCTTAGGAAGTGTCGCATATCATCCATCAAAATCGTTGGAGAAATGTAAGTTTACTTTGAATTTTTTTTCACTATTTACTTCATGAATTGTTTTTTCAATGTTCGATTTGTTGTAACAGGATATGGGATAGTGCTATTAAAGTAGTGCACATTTGTGGATTCATTTATAAAAACATTCTTCACCATCATTTTTTGATTATTGTGTATTTTGATGGTTTTAGTTGGATTGTAATGTGCAAGATTCATTTCAGCTTTACGTAAAAGAAAAGTAATGAGAGGTAGATCGGAAAACGGAGCGGTGAGGAAGGATCATGTGAAAGTGATTGAACGATGGATCGATGGGGTCGAGTTAAAACCCTGGGAAATAGCTAATTATTGGAAGAATGTCGAAAATAGAACAAGACGTATTTTGGCTGCACCATCGGTTGTTACAGGTTCGCAATTCTTTTGATTTTTATGATTTTACAATATTTTTATCACGTCTGTTATATGTCATTCATTGAAATCAACAGTTCAGTTATATTTTTTCAATTTCAAAAAAAGGGATAATGTAAATAATATAATTGTGACAAAACACTTTGTTGATTCTGTAACTTCAAAAAATTTAGCGAACTATTTGCCACGAATTATATTTTGAATTTTCTTTTCAGTTGGCAATAAACTTTCTACGTCAATTGTGAAACATTATGAGTCTCCAATAGTCCATTCTAATCGTATGTCTGCTGAAAGGCGTCGTCCGCAACCGAGACGCATACAGGACTATGATTATGATATAAAGGATGATGAGGACGATGAAGATGACGATGATGAATATGTCGACGTCGAAACATTGCCAAATATTGCTGAGACGAAATCAATTTCGAGTTTAGAACCAAGACCAAAAATTCCACGATTATCAGAGCAGCGGTCGGAAAGACAGTTGAGGGAAAGGTGATTGCAAAATTATTAACTATAAACAAAAGCTGCTGTTTACTGTTGCTATAGTGGTGAAATTCTTTTTGAGAAAGTTGTCGCTTGGTCGGCCTTCGATAAAATATTGTATCTGAAAGATGGAGAATATCAAGTAGGGATACACACTGGTGTCTTATAGGAATTTTGGTGTATCAATTTTTCTTAGAATTATCATAAACTACTACATAATATACCTTTCATTTTAAAATTTCAGTCAGCATAAAGCGCAGTGGCAAAATCTGAATGTACATCGTCAGTATGAACAGGTGCCAAGGCGGCCAGGTGAACTGCTAGGAGGAGGAAAATATACAATGTTTCAGGTTATTTCATCTTTTTGGTTTTTATTCTAATTTCTTTGAAGGGAATTAAATCCCAGGAAAAACAAGCACAGTAGAAAGAATACTTAATAGGATTGATCGAAGTTTTTTGATTTAGAAAACGAAAGTTCCATGCTGGTTTTTTTATTTTAATACTATATTCATTTATCAAATGTGAGACACTGTATGTATTAGCTATCGAAAGTTCAGAATCCACTTATAATATTTGGACCCACAATTTAGAAGTCGGATGGTACTTTGTGCCGTGTAATGGTATATCAGAATCGCCCAACGCAAGGAACCAGGACAATCAGTACTCCAGGATCTGTTCACTCTTCACCAGTGATAACCTCACAGTCAAGAGCTGGAAACAGTCAACGTGAATCACTGCGAATACCAGTCACTCGAAGAATTGTATCAGTGCCAGGCTCAAGTCATAGTTCTCCTATGGTTAGTTTGATCATTAATTTGCTGTCCTTTATTTTTCCAAGGAATTATTTGTATTTCTCATTACAAACATAAATTCATATGTGTATGCGGGGACTTATTCAGTAGTAAACTATCTTTTTTGAGGCTTTACAAGTTTTCTTTTACATTCTTAGGTCTTAACTCTTTTTCTTTCAAATCTTAGCCACCGATGGGAAAAAGATTGCTGTTGATTCGCCGAAGCGATGGCACGACGCAATATTTACGGCCAGTTACTAGTGGCACAGGTACACCCGGTGCTTATCGAGCGATCCGTACAACACAAGTATTTATTTATGTTTTTTTTTGTTGCTCATTTTTTTATAAGCGTAATTTTTTTACCGAAGAAACATTTCAGATTTGTTTTCATTTTAATTAGTTATCTTGTTGCTATCATACCATTGCCTATCATAGTTAAAGACTCGCGTTGTTTTCTCAGAGCTCTAATTTTGGTTTGAGATTTGCCATCTTAAATATGTACGTTGGGACCAGATGGTGTATGGAATATTTTAAAATTAGAGAGGAAATTTAAAAGTAGAGAAATGATAAAGTTTTTATGAAGAATTACGCAGTTAGAAATGAGGATGATAAAGTAACTTAGGTTATTGTTATTCATACGTAATGTTCCCAAGATTCTCTAGGTATTCCAGTTCAGGTTTTAAACACTTTCTCGACCTTAAGGAGGCCCCAAAAATTTGCAAAATTATTGCTACGGAGTTGATATCATTTCAGGCTGGTGGTGCAACAATAAGTGATGTTCGAGGTCCTCCAACAAGTATGGATTTGTGATCTTTCATAAAACAGTCTCTCTTGAGTGGTACATTATATTTTGTAGTTGTTTTTATTCTTATCCATCAGATTCACACTGACAGTAACAATGTTTACAAAAAGGCATTATGCCTTTTTTACAGGTTCTTCGTTTGTTCGTCCAGTCGGTGCTACTCGAACTGCCTTCACTGGCAATCAATCAATGGGAAGAGTTGTACGATTACCTGCGGTAAATATTAATGGTTGAAAATTTTAGCTAATATGCATACTTAGTATATTGCATGAACTAGTAAAACAAAACAAGATTTGGATTTGCAAGTGTCATACGAGTAGTAAAAAATGATAGGCGTAATTGTTTAATTTATGTGATAAAGAAGGTTGAACTGTACTAAATGATTAAGATGTAATACTGCCTGATATACTAATGGGAGAAAGAGAATTGATAATTGATAATTACTTCATTGTTTTATTTTTCATGATAAGTTTTTCGACTTCTAAGCAATAAGTGATTTTTCCAGCACTCTATGCTTATCCTGTGTACTGATTCATTCTAGAAGAATTTTATTCCATTTGCAGCGAACAGTAGCAGTAGTAAATCATCCATCCGCTTCCGGAAATCAAACTTCGTCTACAGTGCGAATTGGCCGAGTGCAGTCGGTAAATTATATTGATATTAACGTAGTAGCTGTTTACGTGCAGTTCAACTGACTAGTTTACCTTCTATTAAAATATAAATGTCTACTTTTAGTCACTTTGATGAATCATTGAATTTTAGTGATGTCAGAAGATAATGAACGTTATTTTGCAAGCATGACTTAATCTGTTAATAAATTAAGCCTTGATTTCAATTTAAGATTTTTTGCAGAATACAAAACCAAGAGAGGATGATGAAGTGCGCGAACATAATAGTCCGACTACAGCACAGGTAGACGAAGAGTATCGTTTATTAACAGAAAAAGGTCGCTCCTCTGGAAAAACATCTGGATCAGTTCCAAATTCTGGGTAGATTATTCTTACAATTTTTCACAAATATAAAATTGTTATAAGGCTCAGTCAAGCAAATTGCAGTTAGTTAAATATGCATACAGTCACAATCTTAATTTCTGAATTTGTTAAATTCAAATTTCGAAAGTATATCTTTACTGTTAGAAGTGGGCGTGCTGTTAGCAATACAAGACCAGCTGTAACAGTTCAGCCGAGGCAAGGTTTAGCAACAGTAGTGCATTCATCTCTGGAGCAGCAGACATCATCAGGTCAAATATTTGGTGACCGTGATCCTATGGTAAGTAGAAGCCCTGTTTAGCTTGTTTCAAAGGTCGGATCAAAAAGCCCAAATGGTTTTTTATCGGCGCTTGCAGTTTCGTGAATTATACATCGTAGTGGATTTTTCCAGATTAATTTCATTCCAAATGTTGAGTTTCAGATAAGTGGTGGTTACTACAATAATGATGACCTGCAAGCCTATAGCGGGATTTGATAGCTTTATGTTACTGATAAATTGGTCTATGGATCTCTTATATTGCGCTCAGAACAAGTGTTTAGAGATCAGAAACAAAATTTCAGAGTTTTTAGAAATTTTGAAAGTAAAAAATCCAGTAGATTTAAATTTCAAAAATCGGTCTTGAAATATAATTAGGCAAAAATAGCAAGGGGAAGTGATAATATACTAAATCACAAAATAAAATAATAGGACCACTTTATTATTCCACCGAACTTGGACCATTGGTTGATTCAGAAGTGTTGCTTCGTATTTTCTTTGCATTTCAGATAATTTTTCATAAATTGCTATGATCGTGTGACTTTGTGTTATATCTCGGCTTGTTGGATTTATACAATGTTATGCATACGTTAGGATCTGTATAACATCGAAAACAGTGGGCTGAGGATCGCATAGATTTTGCACAGTTACATTGTTATCCATTTACTCTTTTATGTCATCGATGCATCTAATGACGCATTTTGATCTTGCACTTGCGACATTGTCCAGAAGAAAATATCCATACCAGTTCCTCGCCTACTGTAGTTTCACTATAGGTACCTTTCAACATTTTTGTTCCTCAAAGATATCTGTTATTCTTCTCCTGTTGTCAGTTACCTATCTCACGTCGTCTGAACAATGCTTGAAATAGTACGACGCAAAATCTTCATTGTTGTTAATATATTAACTTTAAGAAATTGTAATTTCATGATCCTTATATATATA